AAGAAGCCATACAAAATGCAACATTCACCATTTTCAGCTTTTCTGTAATCTATCCTGTTTGAACTGAAAGTGTGCCTTTCTTGCAAAATTGCTCAAAACTCCAACTTGTGAGGCTTTAAAAAGGTAGTATACAACTGGCAAATTTCTAATGCCAAAAAGTTGTCTAACATGGCTGGATTCGGAGTTCACAGCTTTTTAAAAAGCTCTGCCTTATGAGAAGCTACCAAGCTTCCTCGTAACAAACTTGTGTGGATTTTACTTGAATGAAGAAAACCCAGAGAGGGCTCCCAAGCAGTCTCACCAGAGTTATATTTTAAAAGTTTGAAGCTCTTCTCTATATTGTTTTAATTAACTGCAGTATATAGATACCAAACTTACCAGAGACCTAAGCTGGTAACTTCATGTGATTCACTTCAGCATCACACAGAGTTTATCAGCTCAGGTCAAGATTCAGTGTAACGGCAATGGCCCAACATTATTAACAACCTTAGCAAGTACTGCATTCACATGCTTGAGTGGAGAGCCAGGTTAATATATTCATATCTCAGCCACTCTCAAGATGGACTGTACTTTATGTACTTAACTACTCCTAAGAGGGGAGCAGATTTGCTCTGCACTTCCTAATGTAGCACAGGAAGATACTTACAAGGCTAACAACACACTGCCTTAAAAGCCTTACCTTCTGCCCCGCTAAGAGCAATTTTGTAGCCTGCCTTCCACTTGCAGCTCTCTAACCCTTCACCTAAGCCACCTGGCCAGTGTTTTCCAGAGTTTCTCTGGCTGTACTTTTCCCTTGCTTTTCTTCTCGTGCTGTTATTCTCAAGGTCCTTCACCTGCAAATACCAAAACATTGACAGTGTTGTTTCTATACTGTACCGTAGCCCTTCTCTCCTCTGCCCTTCTCCTATCCCTTGGCAGTAGCTTCTGTTAGACATTACAGAGCCCAATAACATGCATGCACAAAGCTCAATAAGCAGCCAGCGTTTAGCACTTGCCCTGATGCAGCATCATAAGCAGCAGGGAGCTTGAGCAGGTCCTGAGAAAAATGACAGAATGGCTATAGGAAAGTGTTGTAAGGAACGCTTGCTGCATGGGAAAGGACACCTAGAGGATAATCATCTGGGAGACTTCACCAATTCTTTTTCAAACTGGCCACTGGGAAAACTTCCCCTTGCCTTTCTTTTATTCTCACTTGTTTGCTTTCTTTTTTTCCATGAAAGTAACTTTCACCCCCAGCATCAGTTTATACCATCAGCTGCAGACCTTATAAATGAATTTTTATACCTTGCATGTCAACCCATTTCAACACCCTTGCTGCAACACACTGCCCATATAAATAGGCTCTGCTGCATGTGAAAGTGTAGTTCCTCACATGCTTAAATCAACACTTAACTCCAAACAGACATTCCTGCCCCATCTCTGGTGAGGGCACAAGCTTCTGTATGAGTAGGTGAGGAGGTGTTTAAGGACAGTTTTAAGTCTAGGAGTAACTTCTCCATTCCTCTACCCCTCAAGAGTGATTAATTTCTGAGCAGCTGAACTCACAGTGCTGAAGCCAGGAAACTTGTACAGACACAAAGGCTGGGACAAGGGATGGAGGAGGAATCACTGACACTTCATGATAAATCATCTTAGCCTGACATAGAAGCTAGCCCTCAACTTTGCATACAAGTAGTAGCTCTTAGACCAGATTTCTGTGGATTGCAGAATAGGATCTTTTGTGCCACTTGAAACACTAGACTTAACTGGTCTACAGATATGCCCTGGGATGAACTACATACTTTATTTTTTCCTCAAGTCACTCAGTTTGCCAGAGTCAAAGTTCCCTAACACAATCTCTGAATCTTAATCCGTATCTTCATCTATTTGAAAAGCACAGTAAAGGGAATTTAGTCACAGAACAAAAGATGAAAACTATTTCTAGCTTACTTAATATATTTTGTATCTGTTTTAATCATAGATCATGATCTACAGTCAGAAACTGATGAACATGAAAAATACTTACTACAGCATATTACTTACATTATTTTTCAACTCCTATTTTTAAACAGTCCATATAGTTTGCATTTACTTGGGAACTCCCAACAACACTTCTGTTCTACTACCCAACAGCTAAAAATCAGCAAACAAATGCTAAATACAATACGGCAGTAGAAGACAATAAATGTAACATATCATACCACTGGAACATGATACAGTACTACAGCATCTGCTTCATATTTGGGACTTTGCTTGTTATTATAACAGAACCAGAATCTGTCTCCAGACTTCCCTCCAGTGAGGGTGGGTAGAAGGAGCAGGATCCTGTATGTGGAGGAGCCGAGGACTCATGCTGCAGTTATCCTGTGCCAGTGTGGGCTGCAGGGCCCATGCCTAGCCTGGCTCACAGGACTACACAAACCCCTCAGCTGCAAGACAGACTCACTGCAAGAGAGGGGCCTGCAGGCAACCGCCCCTCGGTACCACCTGCATGGCCTTGCCTTTAAGAGTGCAGCAAGGAGTTCCATGTGAACATCATTTCTGTTTCAATTAAAGCAATGACAGAGCTGTGTCCTTGTAAGAAAATCCTGCAGGAGTGTGAATGGCCAAGAAGGGGAACATCTCTGCTGCAGCCAAGGTCTGCATGGCACGCTGTGCATGGCCACAGTCCTGTTTGGTGTTACACTGCTCAGGGCTCCCAGCATCTAAAGGGGTGGAAGACTATCTGTGCTATCCCCTTATACTATCAGCTCTAGTAGAGAGCGTTTTCAATTATACCTTACAGAGTCTAAGTGCCTTTCCTACTGGGCTCATAATGGATCAGCACCTCCCGATGCAAAACAAGGAGATGAACATTTCCAACACAGGAATAGTCCCAAAACAGTACTATATAGCATCATTCTTCTGTTTCCTCTTTACTCTGGTATTCCTGTGTAAGCTGGTGTACACACAGAGGGCATGTGTTTATGTGGATAGACAGGCAGATCTAGTTATTTATTACTTAGTTTTAGCTGTTTATCAATTTACAAACCACAGTACTATTTGCCACCCTGCCTGGGCAAGTGCATTTAAATAAGCACAATGAAGCAGACAAACAGATTCTGGCCTCTGTTCGACCCTCCCTGTTTGTTCTGTGATCAGAAAAATTAAATGCCCTTGGCTACCTTATGCAACCAGAGAAATAAAATTCAAGTACCATTTTACCCTAATATGCAAAGACAGTTCCCATGAAAGATAGGTCCCAAAGAAGCAAACTTAAAAGACTGCACCAGACGTATTAATAATTTTCTATGAAAGAAAATCTAAAAAGTTAGCAACTGGTGTGTTTCAGGGTCCTGCTTCCACAAATATGTTTCACTAAGCTCAGTTTCCAGAATTCCCCATTTTACATTTTCACTAGCTTGCATTTATTTCAGTCTAGCTTTTTTATCTGTTAGTCAAACTAATTTAATTGTATAAGTCATTCAACTAAATGTAGGATTTCTAAATATTAACATAACTCACTTAAGGCACCACTGTTACCTTTTAAACCATGATGTATGTAAGCAGAGACTCAGGTAAGAAGTGATTAGAAATACAAGTCATACAATAATCAGACATTGTTCTGCACAGTGATGAAAGTGTTTTCTTTCAGGTTATTTTTGTTTGTTTTACAGTTCTATTGTATTTGTTTTACAGTTTTACAGTTTACATTTCTATAGTATTGCTGCTATTAAAAAAATCAGAATGTTAAAAACCTGAAGTTTTAATTACCTCAAAATCAGTGGAAAAGCAAAAGAAGATTAAGTCAACTGAAATATTCTCCTTAGACAATTCTGAAGTGCTGCTTTTTCATGTCAAACTCCTTAGTTTTTTAACAATTATGTAAATTCAGTTTCTAACAAAAGAGACTTTTTGAACAAAAACACTTATTCCAAGATCATAACCTTGTTCTTTTTTAAAACTATGATATGCATTAAAAAATCATAGGAAATCCATTAAATAAACTTTTGCAAGAAAGGCAACATTTTACACTGATAAAAATGCTATTAGAAATTCCTGACCTATTTTGCTTTTTTCTTACTTTACAGATTACACTCAATATCACTTTTGGAGCTCCGAAAGACCTAATCTAATACACTTTCTCTGCAGAAAAATAAGGAACAATGGGAAGAAAAGCTGTCTCACAATAAGAAGTTCTTGGGATTGCAAATTAACACCTATATTACCTTAAGTTTCTCTCAGAGTGTTGCATTAGATACAAATTATCTATTATCTGGAACAGTTTTTGCCATCTCTACTAGAATTGTACAAATAGTAAAGATAAAGATGCTTCAGAAATTTAGAATATTTTTAATAATAAAATATTTGATGGTCATTTAAGAAAATTTAGAGTTTTTAAAATCTTTAATCAAATGAATTTGATTGTTTAAAAATCAAAATTTTGAATGCCATCTTCTCAACGATTACTTCAGCTTACTACAGTAAGGACAGCACTGATTAAGGGCTCTGAATATAGGTTTCTAAACTGTGAAATAAAGGATTTTTCCTAACCAAACACTGAGGATTAAGGAACTGAGATAGCTGACCCAGCAGAATGGTTAAAAAAATGGAAACTGGGGAAAGTTTCAAGCCAATTTTCAAAATGCAGCTCCTCCTAGTTTTATATCTAATATCTAAGGAAAAAAAAAAAAGTGCTTCATTATAATAACAATAAAATAACAGCAAAGAAAAGCAAAGCCTCTCTCTGAAGTTATTGCTCTGCCTCCTCACTGCCATGGCTGTTAACTGTAATTCCAGTAGGGAGATAAAAAAAAACCAAAAAAATAAACAGTTGGTCTTTATTCCTTTGACATGCTTAGGACAACTGCCTTTTTTCAGAAAGAGATTATGTGTGCTTCTAAATAAGGCTGCACAGACTTTCCCTAGTAAAAATCTTAGTTTTATTTTACCATGAAAAAACCTAGGGAGTACATAAAGATTCAGAACACATCGGCATGCAAAGGATAAAAAAAGCATTAAGTTATAGAAAAAGTACAAACCTCTGATTATACATGCCCCGGAAATTATAATTTGCTCTATAATTGGGAATTGGCTTTGGATCTAATGGCCTGTAGATGGCGGGCTCTCCTCTTTTCATAGCCAGACCATTCAGCTCCACCGTTGGTGTTATACTGCCTGCAAAAAAGAGTACATGTAAGGCACTTAAACCACAAATACTGCAAAATACACAAGCAGGACTGAAATGAGCAGCAAAGTGAGATCTGCATGACCTTTGTTCTTCTCTTCAATTAAAAAAGAAACAACTAAAATGACAGTTGAGCTTCTCTAAAAAGACAGGAATATATAAACGCCAATTTAAACACAAGAAATTAAAAAGAACATTTAAATGTTTATCTCAGTACATTCTCTATGCAGTTTCAGTAGACTAATCTTCACATATGAATGAGAAAGTCAGTGCCATAATCCACCTGGTTATTCATCTTTCCGAAGTGCTTATAATACATTATGACACTTTCTGAAACTACAAAGATAAAGGAATAATGGTTCTTCCCATTGAATACACCACAAATAGAGGAAAGAGGATTGAAAGAAGCAAGCAGTAATAGGCATTACTGTAGTCATTTGTTACTCTTACAAGTCATAAAAAAAAATTCATTTGCATGACTCGAAAACTTTACAACTAAAAATTAATTATCTAAAAAACTGAAAATACAACTACTGGAAATGAGTGTCACTACAGCCATCTACTGGTGACAGGATACAAAAATAGAAAGCAACCAGCACTTCCCCACTTGCATAGTATCCAAAATGTCAAAGAAAAAGCTATGCTGTTATCTGTTTTTTAAATTAAAATGCTCAGCTAAATAATTCCCCACTTACACTGTTTTAAGAAAATCCTAAATGAAATAAAAGTACATTTCAATAATAATGAGTCAATATTTTCTCAAAATATCTGCATAAGGGGTTCAAATGAACCTAGTCTCAAAATACCTATGCTGAATTTGCCAGTATGCCACTGAGACTTTATAGACCAAATGACGGAAATCTGGTGTGAGCCTTCTGCTTTCTAAACAACCAAAGTCACTATGACTGCAAAGGAAACAGCCCAAAACCAGTGACCTTGGTTCAGAGAAACAACATAATTATTTTCAAAAGAGCCAGACAACACTAGCACATCCTTCTCAAACAACCCTTAATAATGCCTAATGCTCAGGATAATACTCACAAGCTCTATGAGATACTCCTGCTTTTTTTTTCCAATATAGAGAAGTTTAACTGCAAAATTACTCCATTTTAAGAAAGTGTCTGAAGAAGACTTTTTTTAAAGGGATGGGGGATGGCAGAGAGAATAAGGGAAAAGGGGAAGAAGGGGGGGTAAAAGGGAAGCAAAAGGGAAAATATTACTTATCACTATTTTCTCTCTTTTATATTTTTGTATTTATTTCATAGAACAAGACAGAAGAGATCAGTGAGCATGTGGCTGAGATGTGTACTTCAAAAGGTGCTGCACAGAGAGAAGGCAACACACAGATGAAATACACAATACTTAATGAAATACTCAATGAAATACACAAGACAACAATATCCATTCTTCCTATTCTTCCAATAACAGTTTCTAAAGACACTTGAAAGCTTTTTGAAAGCATAGGTTGCTATGAAGGAAAACATACTATATGAGGATTACCTGTCAAAGTTCTCACACAAAATCTGACATTTTGTTTACACCATAGATGATATTTCACATGATTAGACTGAGTAAAATTTGGTCCTTTCATTGGAAAATTAGCTAAAATAACTCTTCATAAAAATTGTTTTACTATTTTAATGATGGTCAGCTCAACCAGTTTCTATACATCTGAGCCTTACCTAAACAATCATATTCTCTTACAGTTGAACCATTTTAGGTACAGACATTACAAATTCTCCTGTGCAAACTCACTAGATGTTCTTCATTATATCTTCCTATTATTGTACCATTCTTCATACAATCACACTTATATGACAGCTACACTGATTCTCATTGTCCAGCTGAACTGACTTAATTAGTGGTATAATATTCCAAAAATGCAACAAGATTTACTTCACAGGAAAAAAATGTCATACCTGGATTATTGTTAACATTGTTTTTGGGTGGCCTAGGCGTTGGTTTGGGAAGGGTAGTTTCATTCAATGCTTTGCTAGCAGCACCATGTTGGGCCTTTTTAATACTGCTTCCTTCAGCTTCCCAGGTCTGCTCTCCGAGAGTCAGCTGCACTGTGAACATCTTCAAAGACAAAGAACAGGCAAACACTGGCAAGATTATCCCTGTGGATTAGACCAATCTGCATAAAAACTTTCAGGGCTGAAGAGCAGCTCTCTTTCCATTATATTCAACTCCTAGATAATACATCTGATTTTACAGAAATCAGAGTCCTTACCAGCAGGCAGTATTTGACCTTTCAAGTTACAAAGTAAAATAGTAAAATGTAAATGTTAACTACCAAAGAACAGAATAATTAAACTAAGTAATAATAACTGCAAACTGATCCTCTGCTCTTGGAAGACTATACATAGGGCAGTTCAGATCACATTTCTTCACACACTTGAATACATTTAGTCACTTTACCTGTAGAAAACAGGTAAAGAGTACTAATGTAAAAAAAAAAAAAAAAAAAAGTTATTTTGTAATAATTCTAAATAGATATAATTGATTGCACACCCTTCAAGGCAGTAGAGAATTCAGGCCAAATAGTTCTACCCAGTGATGGCATTTTTTACACAACTTGACTTCTGAAAAGAATTAATGTTGTTAGGGCAGGTTCAAATATGTTCAAAAATATAAAGTGAGAAAAAAAAGTATGATATTTTTGAATGAAACTGCAGTTCTTTTAATGTGGACTCTACAGTGAAGACAGGAACTGTAAAAACTTAAGAGTGTAGAAACAGATACTGATCAAAACTATATCTTTTAAAATCTGCAGTAAGGGATTATTTCAAGTAGTGTCTATGCTTTCCAAGTTGTGAAGATAAAACTCAACACATATCTAGGATATAAGGTAGAGCCTATCTTCTGAACTATACATATGAATTCTGGTTACATTTGAGCATCTAAAAACAAAAGGAGAAAGGGTAAGAAATCAGTCTTTTCCATACCAATCCCATACATAAAAGGCAGAATTTAATAATCAGATACACATAGTAAACTAAGATATACCTACCTCAGAAAACAGACTAACCTACTTGAGGCAACATAGAGAAATCTACATATTAATGTGAGAGGTATATAGAAATTTTCATTTTTTTAGTTACATGCTCTATCTTTTTAAAAATTATTTAAACTTGCTAGATCCAGGACCAGGTATCTAGAGATAGGCATGACAGGCATCTTTAAACTTTGCCTTTACATATATTTTCATTTAGCATGTACCTGCAAACAAGCATTTGAATACAAGTATGTATGTGCCCCCCAACTCAGCCCTATAAACATACAGATACTGCATATGAACTGAATGTTATAAATACATACTCTTGTCTTAATTTTAGGCTTGAGTTTTGGCCTGCTGTAATTTTCAGAAACGTGCTGCAAGTCCCCATATCACGGTTCATATGGCCATGTCATTTTTTCCACAGTTTCCCCACAGAGAAGAGGTAAGAGAGAAATAGTCTCATAATTTCACATTCTGTCAAACTCTACCCCCACCTGAAAGCTAAACCAGGTATTAGAGCTAAATACTCATAATTATATGAATTATCTATAAACATACATCCTCATTACAAAAAGAACTGAAATTTTACTTCTGGATCTGGAATTGATACATTTTATAGTTTGCAAGAAAGTATCAGTGTAGTATTTTTAAAGGAGAATAATTTTGAATCTCAATTGAAATACGATGAATAATGGCTAATTATCTACCTATAACACTCATCTTGGTGCTTAGAGTATTAAACAGGTATTCAAGATAATAAAGGGCTTGCTCAGTAAAATTCTACAGTCAGAGTTCTAACCTTCTCACTCAGCCAATCTGACAAAAAAACTCCTGCAAAAAAACCACACACAGTACTAGGCAGGAATTTAATTAAAGGAATAAAACTGCCTAAAAGCAACATCTGGAGCAGCCTATGAAGCACTCAAGTTCTGCAAGGCCAGAGCTGACATTTCTGTTAGGGATTGTTATGGACTCTCACCAATTTTCTGAGGAAGTTTGTAGTTCTTACATCCAACCTAACCATCTCACAGCCAGAGAGTGGAAATGCAAAGGCCACTGAAGCCTGTGCTTGTTTTCACTCTGCTGTGCTCCTAAGGTCAGTCTCTGGCAATTCTTTTCTCCTCACTTTCTCTCCTCCTTCCTGGCCTTTTGACATGCTACCTTTGACATCTCCTACCATTTCCCCCTTTCTCTCTACCACCACCCACTTTGCCACTGTTTCTTTGAAATTCGTCTCCTGAGATGCCACTGACACAGAAGTACAGAAGAAATAATCGGTCTGACAGATGTACTTGAAAATGTCATTTACACTAACAAATGCATTCTGATTTTTCTTATTATGAAGAATCCACCTGGATGGCAGACTCCAAGAAACGCTAACCACCCTGCCATGAAGCTCCACTTCTCTCTCAGCTCCACTGTTTCTAGTCTCCCATTTCACCCGAACTGTCAAAACTTATTTTCCAGAGACAACTGTCTGTGTTGTTTGTGGTCACGACACAGCCAGCGATCTAGCAGAGCATGTCTCAGAAAACCTTGAAAACCACTAGTGGGCAGGAAGAGAGTATGTGCAGGAGGAAAGCAGTATGACATGCTCCTTAAATGGCAAACAGCAGCAGCAGTTTTACATCCTTTGGGTCATGCTTTCTAGGACAAACTCAGCTCTGATTCACATGTTCTCTCAGGGAGATAACCATGTTACTAGCAAAACATTATACTAAATTGTTAACACGGTCATAATAATTTCTGTGTCTTTGCTTTTCATAGGTTAGAGGTACACAAGTCTGCATAATCTGATTAATATCACCCTTGGTTTCCATTCTCTTCCCTCCTTTGTTGTTTTCATTTGTTGTACAGCTCAAGACCAGACTTAATATTCTTCTGAGTCTAGAGAGAACATAACTTTTTTTAACCTACTATGAGTGTAAATAAAAATAATAGGTAAATTGAAAAACTGAAAAATTAAGAAATCCATTGAAAAGCTGGCTTTCAAAAGTGCAGCTAATGCAGCCTCAAGTAATTTCAATGATATTAGTTCCTTTAAAAGTAATAAAAAATACACATGAACTATTTCTTATCCTGCTAAAATTTAAAGGATAGTACGAATGCGATGTAACTTGAACCTCTTTAATGCTGAGGAATACAAACAGCCAAAACCACACCTTTTGGTACAAGCAAAGCACTTCTGATCAGATAACAATGGGGAAAAAGGTAACAAAATAAACATACAAAACAACAGTAAAAAGTTAAAGAAAGCACAACAGACTGAACATGCTGCAATAACCAAACACTGTGTCCTGTGGCACCAGACGCCTCAAGGAAGAGGAAGAGCACTTCAATTTGCATTCATAATGAGGGATCCTAAAAGCCTGTTGCCTCTCAGCAGCCTTGCGCCTGCTGACATCAATCCCACCAGCATCAAGGATGCAGGAACACCAGCCAAACCAGAAGGTCAGTGATCTGGATCAACTCTACACCAGCTGACAACTTAACGTGCAACTGAGAAACAAGGGGCAATGGCAGAAAGACAGCCCATGACTAGCTGAAACTGTTCTTAATCTGCAGTGTGACCCCTCTGTCTTAGGCAGTTTTGTTGTTCTAGAAATACCAAGTATAAAGCAGCTATTAATTACACCACCACCTCTCATAGTTTTTCAGGCTTTTTCCTCCTCCCCCCAGACTGCTTCTGACTAGGGAGGAAATTCAAATTTTTATCTGGAAACTATTATCACAAGAATGTCCCTCTGTGTTACCCACCATTCAAAATCATCCCAATTTGTACTTATGAAATTATGTTGCATATTCAAACTGATATGAAAACTGACAAGAAAAAAGTGTCAGTTCACTAGAAACTTTTAATGCTACAATAATATTAGGAATCTTATTATCACCATAAATCTTAAACTTGCTCAGAATTTAAAGGAAAGAAGAGTAATAAAGTTTGTGCCCTATAATGCAAGATCCAAAGATACCATATCAATGCAATCAACTTTATGGACACAGATTCATATCAATAAGCACTTAAAAAAAAAAAATTACACAAACTAGCTTAGTTGTCATCTGCACTACCATGAAACAAATAGAGAGGTAATGATCAAAGGCACAACCACTGGGGAGAAGGATTCATGAAGCTTAAAAAAGAACATGTTCCCTAATGATTAAGAAAGGGTGGTGATATCCTGGAAAGACCTTTACATGGTCTTTATAGAGACCAACAAATATAAACTCAATGGTGGAAGTAAAAGTAAGGTCCAAAATAATCTACAGGGCTTCAACAGAAATACAGACATACCTTCTGAAAGCGTGAAAAGAAAGCAAAATAAGAGTAGGAAAATCCTTACACTAGAAACGTGGTTGGTTTTGACAAGCGCGCTTGTCCAGACCATGACATTTATCTGTTCAGCACTTAAGGTATGGCTCATCACCTGGAACTGTGACCTTACCTTGGCATGAGCAGGCCCTCTTTCATTCAGAAGCTTATACTGGGGTTGAATTCTATTGAAACGGGCTAACTCATTTACCAGACACATTGGAGTTTTCTCTTTGGGGTTTGCCATGTTATCTTGGAGAGGAGCTGCAAATAAAGAGTCTGTAAAGTTTTTGTGGAGAAACGTATTCTTCACAACTTTGCAAAGCTTTGCAAAAGCAGCAGCATGCTTATAAAAGAAAATACTTTGGCTAAAAAGTCATTTTACGCATATGCTAAATTAATGTTTAAATACCATCTTTTATCATATAAGAATATGCATTTTACAACCACCATTTTGATTACATGCAATTTAAAATATAAACTATTTCCTTCAAAAATGTCTCTATAGAAGATGACCGTATAGAAAGGCATATATATGTATGTATGTTACATCTTCTGCGTCACCGAAGTTTACTGTCAGGAGCACACTGGTTCCAGGAATTAAATTTCAGAAAGGTTTCTCAAGACTTTGAAGCAGAAGTGGATAGCATAAGAGTTGCAAGATAAAGCAGATGACACTCTGTGGTCCCTGCTTGCTCTTCCCTGCTTCTTCCCAGTGTTTTTTAGACTTTTCTCACAATAACAAAGTAATTCTCAGAGCACTCTCAAAGAACACCTTTTCTCCTCCTTTAAGGATTTTTTTCTGCTTTCCTTAGACTACTTACTTCATGCATACTGCCTTACTATTTTTTATCTTTTGACTGTTTCGGCTTATTTGTATTTATTCTTAACACACATTGCCATTTCTTGCCAATTTTTTTTAGGATAACATTTCTCTATTTTATACCCAGCATTTCAGCATTTATTAGGCTACAAAGGAAACACCAAAGGCTGCCAAGCAGTCTAAAGACGTTCTGTTCTAGGGAAGAGAAATAAACTTGGAGACCTTCCTGCAACACTGAAACTTCTCTATAAAAGATACACTCAGAATTTCACAAAACAGACATGCTCTTTTCTGAGCTTTTTTATCACTGCCCAATGCTTCTCTTTAAGTCTGAGCTCAGTTAAAGAAACTTAACTTAGTGAACAGTCTATTTAGCCAAAATATTTTTCTATAAGGTTTCTTCTTTATTTTAATTATCTTTAAAAGCTAACTTTCATAATATTATTTTATTTATTTATTTATATTAACAGTCACTAAAAAGACTAATTTGAACCCCAAAGAAAATATATCTGGACCAACATACCTGGTGAGGTGCTCAAAGGTGCAGGATCCCCAAGGCTGGCAGTAGGACTGCTACAGCTGGCAGCTGATTCTGAAATGGATCCGTTCATTGAGGGCTGCAGACCCAGTGTACTTGTAGTTGTAACTGGTAGGGGTAGCACCACAGGGGACATGGTAGGTCCAGACAAGGTTGCTGTAGTCTGCATCTTAACTTGTGCCATTGCCTATGACTGCAATAAACAAATCATTATGAGTAGAGCACTTTGTATTTTAAATGTCAAATGGTGATAGTGATACTTCTTTTTAGCTCCTGAATCTGGGTCACAAAACTATCCATGGAAGTCATGCCCCTGCAAACATTGCTGCCAAACTGATGCACAAAGAAACAGAGCTCACAGCAAGAGAACATCACCAGAGCATAACCCACAGACCCTGACTCCAGGTTCTGTTACTCAACAACTGCCTGACAGACAGAAGGAAGCATGATTATTCCATAATAAAATTCCATATAATTATTCTGTGGATGAGATTAGCATCTGCCAGTTTAATCAAGATGGGATGTCTTTGTAACAAAGTACTTCACCAATCTTTTGCCATAGTTTTTTCCAGTAAAGTATTCACAAAATACCAAATAAGGTCACAAGAGAAAAAAAACTGTTTTTTCTGCCTGTTACCAAACCAGAAGAGAAAAAAAAAAAAAAAAAAAAAAAGAGGAAACAACCAACCAACAAAACCACCAAAGGAGCAAGTTCTGAAAAATCACTGCTTATCCAGTCAACAGATGGAGCACTTCAATCCTTGTGTAAATTACCAGCACAGGTACCAGGATTTCCTAAACTGGCTTTTAATCTAGTGCCTAAAGCATTTTTCTGCGATATACCAGGTACTAATCATCTCTGTCTGCCCAAATGAGTTTCTTTATTACCAATACCTGCTACCTGGCTAAGAACACTTGTAAACAAATGGGGTCAAGGCACAGCCCCTTCGTACTATTCACAGAGAGCATGTTCCTTGGTAAAATTTTGGCTCCTGACAAAAAACTGTAAAAACCACACAGGAGGAGTTCAGAGGCCAGCAAGCACCCCAAGCAATTCACTGAACCAAGTGAGGAGGCAGTAATTCCCAGTCCTCCATGGAAAAGTCTTGGGCTTCTTCTTTTGGTATCAGGAGCAAACACAATGCTGTATCTTATTCAGTAGCTTGGACACAGATTTTATCTTTTAGGGTTCATACACAACATACGATCTGTACAGAGCAGAGAGAGAGACAAACCTCGTAACAGCCAACAAACAGCCTGGGGAGCCAGGACTTGCCCCAGCAGCAGCTCTGGTTCCTCTGGCTACAGCAGAGGGGAACAGGAGCCCTGTTCTTCGTCACAGGCAGCACCCTTACCACTAAGCTCTTTGCTACTTCTGCTGGGGTAACTGTCTCTTCCTAAGTAAAATCCCATGCAATGCTTGAAAAACTTCCTAACTGAGGTCTTACTGAAATGAGTACAACTACATACACAATTCTGATTAGATCAGTGTTTTTGCTTCCCTCCAAATCTGTTTAAAAATATCCAAGTATCCCTACTCAGAGGGACAGGACTGTTGGATTAAGATCCCAAATCATTCAATACACCATGGAGTGCAACTACTTTATCACAGTTGCATCAGTATAATGAAAATAATAAAACCTATTACTCTGACTCTGTGCTTTGGAAAAGAAATTGGAATGCCATTTTTATTACTGAGGAAAGACAAACAACTGATTTAAATCTCTGGAAAGGCAAAAGTAAAAAAAAAATATTTAAAATTAAGCTGAGATGTAATCACTTCCCTTTTCATAAATATTATAAGTAAGATGCTAATAGTGACAGATTTTAAAACACATACGCAGTCAGCTGAGATATATTTAAATGCTTTGTGTGTTCAAAAATACAGACTAAACTCAGACTGTAAAAATCCTACTGTAACATAACAGCAGTATTGTTAGAAGGGCTGAACCTAAAGATTGTATATAGCTACAGAATTCTCCGGTATACTAGGTATTTAATTCTGATTTTAAATATATCAGTACAGGACAGAATGATTTCAAAAACTTTCTTTATTTTAAACATCAATTTTTTTTTTTTTTATTTTAAACATCAAAATTTTTTTGGCAGAATCAGGCCATATTTATTAAACATATTTAAAATTAAACCAATGTAATATGGAGTATCATCACAATAAGGAAACTCCTTTAGAGTATCTATAGCATTTTAGCTTATAAACATGAGTACGAGAAAGCTATCAATCATATAGTACTATTTGAGATAAAAGCAGATGTTACTAATAACCAAATAAAATAATGTGTCCTGTTTTATTGCTGTTCTAAAGGGATAAATTGTAGGATTGATCCTTTTCTAATAAGGATAAAAATCAGTTTGATAACAGTATCGCGGAACTGTAAAGATGAACAATATAAAGTTTAGAAGAAAAACTCTGTCCTATAGTAAAGCACACAGAAAATTAATTTGTGAAATCAGAATAAAATCATAACATAACTGGGGTTTTCTTGTCTATCTGAAGCTGTAGAATTCCTACAGAAAACTGTAACTATTTTGTACATTAATCTGTATAAACAAAGATGTGTAGGAGGCAAATATAATTGCAGGGACTAGCTCTTAAGTACATGAGATATGGATGGAGATAATTTGTAACTGTTTTTTGAAATCCATTAGTACAGAGAGACAACAGAGAGAATATAGTTGATATAATGCTGTCATGTCACTTTCACACAAACAAGGAAATGTTATGCCAAAAAGGGGAGAAAACCTATATGCTTCATCTTTTCTTTATGTTTTTCAAATATATACCAGCGTTGTACTATTTTACAAACAGTGAAGCAAAAACATGTTGGGGCCTTCCAGCCACAAGCACAGACCAGTTTGCTGCTACACAACAAAATGTAGGCCTTGAGGTTTAACTAAGATGGTCACAGACCAAATGCGGTTATATAATCAAAACATTTTCACACCTTCTGTGTCAATACTTTTGAAAAATCTGGCATTAATAAAGAGCATGGTTTATTTAGGATCATATTAATACGATTAGAAAAGCCCACGCACCTCCTTTCAAGTGGTTAACCGAACTCACATCTAGGAAACCACTACACCCAAGTGTCTCCAGAGGAGTCTCCCTGGATGCTAGGCAGTGCTTACAGATGCCTGGATCTCTCTGAGAAAGCCAGACAGTGCCACTGTGACTGCCAGCTTTGCGTCTGTGTTGAGCCACCAGCTGCCACGCCGAGACAACACTTCAATGATATTTCTTGCAGTCTTAAATCACATACACCTCAACCCTGTCAAAATCCACAAGTGGTGGTGTTGCCATTTTTATAATGTTGTATTCCAGAGCTTCAGGTGCCTTCTGAAGTGCTGGAAGTTTTTCCTCTCTCACTCTAACCTGCATAGCTGTATTAGAAATGCAACAGCAGACATTTAAGGGAATGTAAATATACTAAAATTGCATTTTACTTCATTTCTGCTTTTGAAAGCACTTTGCACACAGGCCATTTCACAGGTTTCAGTAAACAGTTGATGTTAATTTTCTTGTGAAACTATGTGTAAGCTGTGAATTCACCTTTCTCACAAAAACAAACAAACACCAAACAAACTCACTTAAGAACAACAAAACTAAACCCCCTCACACTTTAAAATGAAAATATTGCTGTTAAATATTCAGTTCTTTTTTACTGTAAGTTAAAAACCACAACATTCATTTAGGTATATTCACAGATGCAGAATATTTTTTAAAATGGTGAATACAGTCCAGTTGTGCTAAAAAACATCACATGACTTAAATAATTACTTCTTTTTTTCTGATTATTATAATTCCTTGTACTCTTCTGGAACATGAATCACTTCCTATTCTTAGATCTCATAACGTAAGATATTAATTAAATACTCAGGTGGAATGATTCTTACAATGTCACAGTAACTGAATAAATAAAAGACAAAGTAGATAAGACACCACACAATGTGGAAAACACAAACAGTTGAGTTTTCAAGTTAAACGCACTTCCAGAATGTGGAAAAATTGAAACAGCAGTACTTAAGACACAAGTTGTTGTATGAAAAATCAACAGCCTGAGAAACTAATGACCTGAATAGTTGAAACGAAAGACTGGACTTTATCTGTGCAGAGTGAAAATGTTTATATCCACTAGGATGCTATCACACTTTCATACCACTCTGTCACACAACCCAACATATCAAACCTAATCTCTGTACAAGTAACACAAGGCATATACTACAGGTTTGTGAAGGGCATTACAAAGGCAACAGCTGAGATCCAGCCACTGGCAAGTAAGAAAAATTACTTGACATATCTTGTACCTTGTATTTTTGTTTACGCATTCTAATTGGTGCCTACTTTTCACAACAGTATCACATTACTGGTCCTTTTCTGCAGAACTGCTACCCAGCAAGATGTAGTCTGTATTGTTTGTGAATCTGACTGTTCTGCAGTTAATGAGACTCCATCCTTGTCTTCCTTGAATTCTCTTACTAAAAAAAAAACACCAGAAAAACCCCATAACAATAAAACAAGTAACAGAAACAAAACAACAAAAAAGAAAAAAACTACTGTTTCAATTTTTCAAGATCATATTGAATTCTAATTCTAGTTCTGCGATGTTCAAAGTCTCTTTCTCTTCCAAGATGGCTTTATAGCATCTACAGATTAGTATTATGTCCTGGTTTGAGCCAGGATGAAGCCAATTTTTCTTTTTACTGATTTTTTTTTTCCTTCAGTAAGCTTTCTTGTAACTAGCAACAGTGTGTTCTGCTAGGCTGATAAGACACTGGAATGTTTTTCTAACTACTGAGGCTTCAAGGCTGCACCTGCACTCTACCAGCTCAGACACTATGGGGAGATCTGTGACCCCCCCGTAGGAGGCTGAGTTAGATGGACAGCAAAATTGGCCAAAGATATTCCATTCCATATATCTACGTAAGCTCAGAGGAAGGTCAGAGATCACAGAAGACAACTTCCTTCCTTCTTCTTCTCCCTTCTCTTCCGTCCATGGCCGGCGTAGAGGGAGGACTCTGTTCATCTATCACCGTCGATCCTCAGGCTTGATCTCTTGTGACCCCCATAACTCTCTGCTTTCTCCAGCAGCAGCTCCGGGATTCCTCGGGACTCTTCCCAGTTCAGGGAAGTGCTGTGGGAGTTGCTGAGGGTGGGGGGTGGTGAGAGGCTTTTGCCTAC